CATGTTGTAAGGGGAGGCCTGACAAGGTTAGTCCAGCACATGGGGGCAGCTTAGGTGGGTGCTGTCTCAGTGCCCATGAAGTGTCCCAGTGTACCTGGAAAACCCACGCTGGCATTGGACACAGCAGTAGGAAAACACAGATGGCTTCAGCCTGCTGTCCAGCTATGCCCCACTGACCCAGCACAGGTAGACCCACTAGCCACCAACGACACTTCCCCAAAAACTTGGATGGTCAGTAATTCAGTGGAAAGAAAAGCAATTTTTCTCCTAATTAATGCAATGGTGGATACATGCAGACATGTATGGGAAAACCCTACATTTAAACACACTGGGGCAGGATACATTGCATGGGGGATGAAGAGGCAAGACAAATAATCAGGACAAATAGAGGAGGTGCTGGCTTTTGACAACAGGTGAAAATACCATCGTAAATACACAAGGCCACTGTGTATTCAAGTCCATGCTTCTCGTACATCCTTCTCTCCCTCCGCCCCTCCCATCACATGAATTCTGATGGGAAAAATGGCTTTGCTGACCATAAAAATACCATCATAAATACACAAGCCCCACTGTGTATTCAAGTCCATGCCTCTCGTACATCCTTCTCTCCCTCCATCCCTCCCATCACATGAATTCTAATGGGAAAAATGGCTTTGCTGACCATTGAACTCTCTATGGATGATGATGATCAGTGGAGCTTGGCATTAAATTGCCAGTAACAGAACTCCAAAGCAATGGATACAGAAGTGGCAGAGACCTTTCACAGAAATAGCCTGAAGTGATAGTGCTATGTGAAAAGAATGTGAGGTTATATTTTAACAAAATTCTCTTTCTTTTCAGCCGCCTCATATACCCTGGGGTTATAACCTTCCTTATAGCAACTGTGACCTTTCCTCCAGGATTTGGGCAATTCATGGCAGGAGAGGTGAGAGTGGGGTGTGTATGTGCAATTCTGTGCAGTTCTGTAGAACAGTCTCCCCTCATCCTGTGCCCCAATAAACCGTAAGGTTTTGTGTCATGGAAAGGGGATGAAAGATTTGGAAGGAGTTTGGACTGAGGAGGGACTATATTCTGAGACTTATGATCTCTGCTATCTCCTCCATATAAAACTTGAAAAAGGTCCACTCTCCTAAGCAAGTGATAAAGAAGACGTTATTCCACGTGTAAAACTAGTTATTCTTTCACCAGTTCAGGTGAAGTCCCATGTCTCTTCCTGAAGATTAAAAATGTGAATTAAGTCTCGTAATCATGAATTACCAAAGTAAAAATCTCCTCCACTGTCTTGGAACAAATGTGGAATTACTCCATCTAATCTAATGATTTATGCCTGGGTTGTTGGTTTTTTTTTTTTGGTGTTTAGTTGATGCCACGGGAAGCCATCAGCTCTCTCTTTGATAACTATACCTGGGCAAAATACACAGGGGACCCACAGATACTGGGGAAATCTGCTGCCTGGATCCATCCAAAAGTCAGTGTCTTCATCATCATCCTGCTTTTCTTCCTCATGAAGGTAGGAAACCCAGCTCACCAAAACTCTTTTCCACTCGGAGTGAATGGTCTTACACCTTTGCAAAATAGTTTGTGAACTGCCAGTGAGGACTTGCTGGGTATTGAATGAAACACTACAACTGAAATGGATTCTTATATAATTTGGAGTGATTTTTGCGCACCTTGAATGCAAGATTACTAAAATTACTAGGGAATAGTTTCCTGACCTCAATAGAGTGACCTCCTTCACTGCTCCCAAGGTTATCTTCCTCATGCATCCTGCTG